GCTTCCACACCAAGCATGCAACCATCATGATAATTATCCACATCATGGGGGACTATTGTTCTATAGCGGGGTCCGACATTCACATTCCCAGATCTCCTGCCCAATGAGGTCTTGCAAACACCTCCTCCGAAGAATTTCAACATATCCCGCCTCGAAAACACATACCCGCGCCTTGCTGCGCCGATGCGAGACCGCCAATGCAACCCCAGCGAAGGGTAAAGCACAAGGAAGCATCGAACGACAGGATTGCCTTGGTGGGGATGGGGGCTGTCGGCGGTGAGGCAAGGACCTGGCCCTGAACAGAAAGGGAAGAAGTTTCGAGCAGGGCTGCTGTTGTTGCTGGGAGCGGCGCCACTGCTGAAGAGAGTAGGGCGCCTGTCCAACGTAAATCAAAACGAAGTCTCGAGCGGGAACGCTGGTTTTGTCGGGGCGGCGGCTTTCGGCGGCGAGGAGGAACACCGCCTTGAGTAAGAAAGGAGGAAGCATCGAGCGGGAGCCGTGGTTTTGTCAGGACGGGGGATGTCGGCGGCGAGGAACAGCACCGTCCCAAAGAAAAAAAGGGGGGGGGGAAAAAACAGTCGAGCGGGAGCGTTGTTCTTGCTGGGAGCGGCACCAATTCAAAAAAGGGTAGGGCGCCAGTCCAGCGTAAAACGGAAGGAATCTAGGAATCTCGGGCGCGAGCGCTGGTTTTGTCGGGGCGGCGGCTTTCGGCGGCGAGGAAGAACACCGCCTTGAGTAAACAGGGAGGAAGCATCGAGCGGGAGCCGTGGTTTTGTCAGGACGGGGGCTGTCGGCGGCGAGGAGGAGCACCGTTTTCAGGAAAAAAGGAGGAACCCTCGAGCGGGAGCGTTGTTTTTGCTGGGAGCGGCGCCGATTCGAAAGAAAGTTGGGCGCCAGCCCAACGTAAGACGGAAAAAAGTCTCGGGCGGGAGCGCTGGTTTTGTCGGGGCGGCGGCTTTCGGCGGCGAGGAGGAGCACCGCCTTGAGTAAAAAAGGGGGCCCTCGAGCGGGAGCGTTGTTTTTTCTGGGGGCGGCGCCGATGAGAGAAATACTAGCGTGCCAGTCCAAGGTAAAACGGGAGGAAGTCTTGAGCGGGGGCGCTGGTTTTGTTAGGACGGCGGCTTTCGGCGGCGAGCAAGAACACCAGCCCTGAGTAAAAAAGGTGGAAATCTCGCGCAGAAGCGTTGTGGTTGTTGAAAGGTCGGTTTTGGGGGCCCCCCAAACCGCTCGAGCGTGAGTCTCGCTGTCAACGAAACGAAAATGTAGCCGGCGCCTCGGCGAGAGCGCCAGGGCGCCTGTAAGGGGTCCAACAGTAATTAATCAATAATTTACACCCAACAGCAACCACCACAGCAACAACGATGAGTCTAAGACTGTTCGCTCTTACTTGCCCGCGTGTCATTCAAAACGAGCTCCCCACACCCTCGATACCCGCCCTGTTTGTCTTCGGTCACACCCCGTTTGGGGGAAGTCGTTCTTTTTGCGGGGGGCGGCGGGCTTAGACAGGCGGGCAAACTTGAACGGGCCGACAATCCTTCGTGGGTGTACATGTGCCTGCCATTGGAATTGGTGTGGACCCTGCAAAGAAAGGAGGGGGAGAGCGAGGGAGAGTGGGAGGAAGGGAGGGGGAGGGACGAAGGAAGAGGGAAAACGCCAGGAGAGAAGGAGCGAAGAGGGGGGCGGTTGATTAGAGACAGAGAAAGAGAGAGAGAGAGAGAGAGAACAAAAGAGAGAGAGAGAGAGGGAAGAGAGAGAGAGAGAGAGAGAGAACAAAAAACAAAAAAAACAAAAAGAGGAGGCAGGAGAGGGGACGGAGAAGGGAGGAGGGATAGGAGGGAGAGGGGATAGGGCAGAGAGGCGTCAGGATGAGGGAAGGAAGTAGGGAGAGAGAAGGGAGGAGAGGAGGGAGGAGGGAGGAGGGAGAGGGAGGAGGAGCAGGAAGGTAAGAGCGCGAACGTTCGAGGAAGTCCTAGGCAAGAGCGCCGTTCCTGAAGGAAGTCTCGGGAGGGAGCCCACGACGGGCGGGCGATCCCCTGACGGGCGGGTCGGGCGGGTGGGGCATTCAAGCGGGATGCCTGAGTATGGCGAGAGCGCGATTACTACGTAAATTGTAACGGCGTCCTTGGCGCAGCGTGTTTACTGAGCGTCGAAAGCGCGACTTCTGAATAAATCGCATGGAAGTCACAAGCGAGAGCGCAATTCCTGAATTAAATGTGAAGGGTTCT